GTTTATCTATGTGCATCATCCGAAGTGCCTCAGGGGGCTAATGTACCAAAGCTTTCTTTCAAGAAAAGTAAATGGGATAACCTCTAGGAGTTGCAGCTCAGTTCCTGGAGGGCAGGACACCCTGCCTTATATTAAATAAGAATTTAACAGTTATCCTCTGCTAATCTTAATATATCCTGCTGTCATTTATCTGGTATGTATCATCAAGGGCCATATGTTTTAGCATCCCACATATTTGATTTTCAGAAGCATTCCTTAAGGATGCTGGCCTTAAAAATTAAAAATTAAAAAAAGATTCCTCCTACTTGTAAAGCAAGTAAGGTGTCAACAAAAGGGTTTTCGCTTGCATGCATGTATTGGACTTCACTTAAATAGCTAATGTCAGCCTTGTAGGAGGGGGAGATACAAGATGAAACACTTGTTCTAAGAGCCAGTACTACTTCTGCACTTCAAAATCTGGAAAGAATATAAATCAAGGCATGATATAAACTGACAAAGCTAATTTACTGCTTGGCGCTTTCATTTCAGTTGCGTCTTTCTCAATATCCTCAGCAACTTAACACGGGCCTTTCCTTGAAAGCCATATAACCACACACACAAAAAACCCACACACATGGAAATTTATGACTGCCTAAAAGGAAAGGTGACTCATAGGAATGTTGCGTTAACAAAATGGTGGATGAGAGAGAGAGAGACCAAGTGCTAGCTCTGAACTGGTTCTAATGATCTAATGACTAATACCATCCATTAAGGAAAGAAGGTTAAGAACTCCCTAGCTGATTAACGTCGTTCCCTTATCTGTGTTTTTAATAAAAGTTTTAATATATATCACTCCTTGGCCATCTATGTGGTTAATTAAAACTCTAAAAGCTCCCAAGTGTTCATTTCACTCGGTCGTAAGAAATATTAAACTAATACTTAAGCCAGGGAAGGGTGCTGAAGTGAAGCCAAAAAGAAAGGAAGAAAAAATGATGATGCTGTGTCTGTTTACCAAAACACATTTGCTTAGTGTAGTGAGCAAGTGATGGGGCTGCCCATGGAACTTGAAATTGTTTTGTTTTGTTTTAATATATATCATTTATGTCTTGCCCTTCATCACGTGACCACAGGATGGCCTGCAGTAATTAATTAAAGTACGTGCAGACCACATGTATGCAAACACATCAATCCATACAATGGTAGGCAGGGACCTGAACAGGTGGCAGGTTTGTTCACAAGATCAAACTGCACATGGATCCAGCCAAGGAGTGTTTTGCTGAGGATTGAACCTGAGACATTCTGCATGCAAAGCAGATGTTCTGCTACTGAGCTATGACCCTTCCCCGATTTCTCCCTCAATTTGTGTGTGTTTAGAGCATACTTCTGGAAATATTTGCCCAAGCACTGTGAAACTTCTGCTGTTGTTTGAAACAGCCACTTTTCCCATTTCAATGTCTTCCCTTCTCGCTTTACTCAAACATCTCCCTCTTCCATTCCTCTGCTACCTCATGTAAGAGAGATAAGGCATGCAGAGCCCTCAAATAGTCTATAGTACCCTCACACAATGTATTTCACTTCTGATATGAAACACTGTCCTCAACCCCTAGTAAGTACGTATTTTGAGAAGTTTAAACTGCTGAGAATTGTGTTGTAACATTCAGGCAAGTGTGAAATATGTGATAATATGTATTTACAAGTGTATTTTCTCTCAAAGTATGTATTTAAATGTGTATCTTATCTCAAAATACTTATAATATGCATTCTGATACATCTGCAGTGCTAGGAACTGCATTGCACGTCTAGAGAAGTGTGAAATCTGGTGCATAGCTAAAATTCCAATCTGCACATTAGTCCAAGAGGTGTAGAGCAGGTCACTTCATATAGCAATTCACAAAGATTGAATTCCTGTAGCATCCCTAATGACACATGCAAAGGACCAGGCTGTGAGTCTGATAAATGTTTGCCTTCAGCTCTTACCTGATGACTAGCAGGAGGAGACCAGGAAAAATGTCTGCTTAAGGAAGGAATGTATCTGAGCTAAAATGTTTTGGTTTAATGTTTACCTCGTCTGATTTATTATGCAGTAGTAATGGCTGCTTTTTCATTTACATCATGAACTGCTTTTCAGGGAAGCTGATGTAAAAAAGCTTTTATTTCTTCCACAGTATATTTTAAGGTCTTCAGATTAAATACACTTGCACACAAGCTTAGTGTGCATACTTAAAGTGCTACTAGTGTAAGCCCGGGGTGTATTTAAAATGACCAAGAAGCTTTGAATGTCTAGCACACTGTTAATTTTTTGTTGAACGTTTTCCAAGCAACAGAAAATACAACAACCCCTTTCCTGTTATGGTATGGTATGGTATGGTATGGAACAGTATAGTAATCACAAATCCCTGATGATTTGGATGCAATTTCTTTCTTTCTTTCTTTCTTTGCAGACATCTTCCCTTAGAAAGCATCCAGTTGTTTCATACAAGTTACAATGTATAAAAAAACTGGAAAAGCAAGCAGCTTTGCCAAGGAAATAAATACTTGCAACTGTGCGTGGGAGTAAACTCCATTTAACACAATGGGACTTACCCTCCAAGCTAACATGCATTGGTTTCTGCTGCTAATTGTTATGTCTCTGCATGGAGGCGCCATCACATGTAAGTATTTCTCAGCAGTCTCCACGTTGCTGCTGTAATGAATAAAGCAACTCTCATTCAGGAAAACGTTCATGAGAATCAACGAGGTCTTTGATAGGTATGGAATTCATTTGTAATAATTCTCTTCTCCTGGCTGTTTGCCTGGCTTCTGCTTACACTGGCCTGCTGCAATTCTACACAAAATGTGTTAATTTAGATTTGCTGTGCCTATCACAATCTCTAGGTGTTTAAAGCCTTGGATGTTAAATCAAAACTGTCAGAGACAGACAGAATCTCCTCCCTCAAAGCACCTTCCCTGTCCTAAAGCAAAACAACCAACTGTCAGATTGAAACATACCTAATAATACATCTTGGGCATTCTGCAATTAATCTCCCCAGCCATAAAGCATAAGCTTAGCTCCTTCCCGACATATAGCTCAGATATTCCCATAACAACCCCCCTGCGCTGGAAACAATTATTTGTGGCAGATATGTTTATTACGGAAATACGTCTTAGGCAACGCAGCCAAGGCATGATTGCTGAAAGCTAGGAGTGAAAATGGGACAATAAGGGTGTCACAAGGCGACAGGTTTTCTCTGTAGACATAAAAGGGAAGCATGTGTATTGCATTGGTTTTGTACTTCAGTGCCTCTAAGCATCTGCACTTACCCTACTAGACCATTTGGGCTAACCATCAGCACCATTGTAGTATAAAATTATATGTGACTGCCATCTACAAAAGACTAGATAGCTCAGAAAGAAACTCTAAAGTGCAGATTGTTTCCCCAAGGGCTCCATTTCTTATTTACGAAATTCTAATAATGTATATAGCTTTCTTCTTCTTCTTTGGTGATCACTCGTAGCTGAGTAACATTGTCTTCCATGAACACAGTCTTAACGGTGTGACTGTGGAGGCCAATTCTGGATCCACGCATCCTTCCACAGTGGGGCATAGGTTTCTGGGTGGGAGTTTATCATAGTGAGGGTTTGCCAAACATGCCTTCCTCTTAGCTTGTTTCTCCCTTTCATCCTGAGTTTAAGCGTCTTCAAAGTCCATGACACCTTTGGTAAAGGCTGTTCTCCAACTGGAATGCTTGCAGACCAGTGTTTCCCAATTGTCGGTGTTTATACTACATATTTAAAGATTTGTCTTGAGAGAGTCTTCGAACCTCTTTTGTTAACCACCAGCATTACGCTTTCCATTTTTAAGTTCAGAAAAGAGTAGTTGCTTTGGAAGATAATCAGGCATCCAAACAACATGACCAGTCCAATGAAGCTGATGTTGAAGAATCATTGCTTTGACACTGGTGATCTTTGCTTCTTCCAGTACACTGACATTAGTTCACCTGTCTTCCCAAGTTGGAGTTGGAGATAGCATTTATAAGTGGTCCATGTTTCACAAGCATACAGTAAGGTTGGTAGTAGTATAGCTTTGTAAACAAGTATTTCTATTTCCCTGCAAATGTCCCAGTCCTCAAACACTCTTTACTTCAGTCAGAAGAAAGCTGCACTTGCAGAGCTGTGGTGATGCTGGATTTCGGCATCAATGTCTGCCCTTGTGGGATAACTGCCCAGGCAGGAAAAGTGATAGACATTTTCCAACATTACATGGTTAAGTTGGATTTGTGGTGCTGCAAAGGGGTTGCTTTGTGCTTGTTGGTGCAGCACTTTGGTTTTCTGGATATTGAGCGATAGGTCAAGCTTTTCATAAGCTTCTGCAGAGATATTTAGGATAGTTTGGAGGTCATCCTCTGAGTGTGCACACACTACATTGTCATCAGCATATTGAAACTCTGTGACGGAAGTTATGGTAACCTTATTCTTTGCTTTCTGCCTGCTCAAGTTAAAGAGCTTTCCATCTGTTTGATATATGATTTCTACCCTGGTGGGGAGTTTCCCTTTGACAATTGTAGGATCATGGCCATGAGAATAATAGAGTTGGGGTGATAATACTTGCAGTAGCCACATACTTGCAGTGGTGTGGCCGTTGCTGAAAGGTGCTTCCATGTGTTCATGGCTCCACACAGCCACAGGGAAGGGTAAAATCCACCTTTGGCTGTAGTGTAATAAGCTACAGGGGTGCTGATTTGGTTGCTTAACACATGATATAACCAACCCATGTTGGACTCCAGTTCACTCATATCCATAGCCACACTAAATTCCAACTATTCTAAGAAGTGCTCTCTCCTAATCATTAATCATTTATTCAGCACCAGGTTAAGATATTCCTCTACTCTAAGGCTTTTGATGGGATATGATGGATGGGTCAATTTTTAGAAGCATCAGTCTTATGCTGCTTGGCAGTTCCTGATTATTTTGTCTCTTTGTGGGAAGTCTTTTTTATTATTTAATGGAATTTATTTTTTGTATTATTTTTGCTTTTAATTTTTGTATATCTCAATTTGTTGTACAATGCCTTTAGTCATTCTTTAAAAAAAAAACTGTCTAGGAAATTTAATGAACTAAACTCTGCTGAAGCAATTTTCAGCAGCAATTATATTGCTGTAGGTATATGAGTTTGCCCAGTGACTCCACAGCTGGCAAGACTCAAACCAATGTCTCTTGGATCAAAGTGCAGCTGCTTAGACATTGAACCAAACTAGCTACAATTGCTTTCTAAAGTATCAGTACTGGCCATGGTCAAACAAATGGGGGAAGGCATTCCCAGGAGCTATTGCAAGAGATTTATAACTTTGGTTTTGCCTAGTATAGAAGAATGTCCTGGTTCTACAAAGAGTGGGGATGGAGGATATGAAGGACAGAACAGGGAGTGCTTCTCCATATCGTTTCCATCTGCTCCTGTCTTCTGCCATGACTTGCTGTTCTGAACACACAAGGCAGGTGTTTCAGTTTACTTTGCCTTTAAGAGGGTCCATTAACCTTCAGCAACTTCAGTTCCTTCAGAGTCCTATGTCTCAGGGTTTTAGGAGAGATTGGGTGAGGCTGTTCTCCCTTTGGGAAGTCCCAGCCTCTTCTCATAATCAGGAACTTAAGTTCCAAATAATATTGTTTAGCCACTTCCTTCAATCAATTCTCCTACAATTCCAAAGTTTATTTATGCTTTTATTCTCTCCGCATACACGCGCGCACACAGTTCATGCAATTGTAACGCCAGAGAGAACTAAAGGCTGGAGTCATCTGTCAACAGTTATTTACAGCAGGGATTTAAAAAAAATAAGTAAATCAGGTTTCAGAGCTAGAGCTAGAGGACCCACAAGAGGCACAGACCTCTGCCTAGCAACGCCACAGCTGCTTCAACATGTCTAAGTATATTATACCTAGGATGGTAGCTAATTCTGTATTATCTAATCAAAATTGAAATGGTGTGACCTTGTATGTTTCTGATCATGATCTATTGGCTTTTATTTGTTTCCAGGTCCTTTAACTAGTGATGGGGAGAAATTAGATCATGCGTCCTACTTTATATATACAGAGCTGCTTTACTGACATCACCCTGCTAATCAAGAAGCAGCATAAAAAGATGGGACCGTAGTCAGTGTTGCATGCCCTCTTTCTTTAAATCAACATGGTTTTGCAAACATCCCTGCTTACAGCAAATAGGCTTAAGCAAAAGGTTTTATGATGAAATGTAAAATGTTATTGAACATATATTAGAAGAAAATGAGGCTTTACGATGCTTATATTCCAAGGGCTTACATTTAAGGCTTTGGTATTCATAGAGGAAGAGGATGAAGACAGAAGAATAAAATGCAAAGCCAGCTGAATGGCATATATGTTTATAACCATTCCAGTATGAGTCGTTCAGAATCTTGCTTCTGGGATAAGGCCTTATTGGCCATGACAGGTGTTGCCTTTCGGTCCTCCTTATTGTTTCCCAGAAGCATCTGGCCAACTGCTTTTAGAAAAAGGATGCTGAATTAGATGAACCTTTAGCCTGCTCTTTTAGTTCTCTGTTTTACATCTTTAAGCTATAAACCTTAGCTTAAGAACAGAGAGCATTTGCACAGGTCTCCACCCCAGTACCGGCCCCAAACAGCTGGGTTCTACCCCAGACTAGCTCTGGAATAAAATCAGCAGTCTGCCCAGATTATTTCTAAATTTTTATTTCATGAGATTGCACACACAGGGAGCCTCAGGTTCTATTAGGAATGTAATCCTCCCATCCTTTGTTTTCTCTTTATGCCTTTTTGTTTTCCTACAGATTTTTCCCTCTCCCATTGTCTTATCTTTACTTTCCTTCATTTCTGCCTTTTTTGGCATCATCTCACATCTTCATACTCCTAACTTTGAAAGTTTTGAAATTTTCAAACTTTGCCCTTTAAATATTGGAGAGACTAGCTAGGGCATATGACCCAAGATCAGGTTTGTGATGGAAATTATAGACAGTTTTATACTCTAGAGGCAGATTTGAATATGTTAATGTAGATTTAACAAAGAGTTTTCCTCCAGCTAGAGAAAGCTGCACAGAGTATGGAAATGGTTGTTCTCAGGTAAGTTGCTCAGGAGTTCTCCACAAGGAAAAGTAAATAAAAGAAGATTTGGTGGAGCAAATCAAGCTAGCTGAATGCAGATTTTGCTACTTCAATATATTTCTCCTACATCAAAAATAAATCAAACACGCTGACTGCACTGTTTTTGTGACTCCAGCGAAGAATTTATTAGACGTTTCTGCCACTTCATATTGATTTTACATAAAGTCATTTAGAATCTCTCACTTGCTCGGTTGGTAAGAAAAAGTGGGAAAAGATGGGGCTAAATATTAAGGTTTTAGGGTTTTGTAAAGGAATATGAAAAATGCAAACTATATTTTTCATTAATGGTGTTTTTTTTAAAAAAGCTATGTTTTAACATTTTTCCTTAAAAGCAGCATTTAGTAAGCATATGAAATTTATATTTTATCTCTCTTGGAGCAATATTTAAATCTTCCTGTTTACCTCAGCGTTGTAAGCAAAATTCATCTGAATTTTGTACCTGAAGTTGTCAACTCCCCCCCCCCCAAATGTCCATTTCTCCAGGACCTGAACATAAAAATCACTCTCTCCTCTCGTGGTCTCAAGCAACTGGTATTTAGAACCATACAGCCATTGACTGTTAAGGCAGAACATATCTAAGTTTGGGTCCAGTTCATACTGTGCCATAAGTCCTGTATACATAGATTTCAATGCACAAAGGAGTTCCAGATTTCATTCTGTGAGACAATGGCTGCCTGAGTTGGGGAGAAAGAGCAAGGGGAATGATATCTGGGTATATGTAAAGCCATAACACACAGTGTATGTTCAAAGTTAGTTTTCAGATCATTTTGTGGGGGGCATGTGAACTCACCTTATTAACTAGCCGCAATGGCTATTTTCTCCCTCCATTTTGCAAAGCAGCATGTCTCTGAATACCAATTTCTACAAGTGGGGAGGAGGACTATTGTGCTCACATCCTGTTTGTGGACATCTGGTTGACCACTGTGAGAATGAGATGCTGAACTAGGTGGACCTTTGGCCTATTCTGGCAGGCTCTCCTTACATTCTTATTCTATTCTTTCGAACGCAGTTTACTGAAGCTTTCTCATTCATATGCCCACAAAACAAAGCATGTGCACATGAGCGTGACCACGCACACACTGGAGGATGTGATTCAATCTGACGTTATTTGTTATATGAGACAAATGCAGTTTTGTCTGTAGAGGGTGGAAAACCTAACAGATAAGGATTTATACATCAACCTGTAGTCTGTTTAATACTTAGCTTATCTAGATCATTGTTTAAAATAGTGTTAGGCTATTCATCTTTCTGTCAGCTAGCAGTAGATCATTCGGTAGTAGCACTGTAGGAAACAAATGTTCCTTGTTTTTTGAATTAAAGTTTGTTTTGTTCCCGTTTGTGACATGTTTGAGCCCTTAAGTCACAACTCAGATGCTGTGCATGCACAAAACAGACCTCACTCTGACAAAATGGATATTTTCACAGCTAAACTTAAGAGAGCTACAGAATTCAACTTAAAAATCCCCCCTCTCTCTTTCTTCAACTTTATAGGATGGGAACCTGTGGCCATCCAGAAGTTGTGGGACTCCAGCTCCCATAAACAGCATGGCCATTGGTGAGGGGTGATGGTAGCTGGAGTCCCAAGAATATCCAAATGGGTAAAAGCAAATTTTGAATTTGAATTTAATTGAGCTTACTCCTCAGTATGCATATATAGGATTGTACTGTGCATTAGAGAATATTTAGATTCACTGAGCTGAAACATCAGTAAAGATACAGGATAAATTATTTAGTATTATTATTATTATTATTATGCTTTGCATAATACTCTGTATAATTTTAAAGCCCAGTAGTTTCAACATTAGATCAATAAACAAAAGTTATAATATTGGTTGATTTGCTGTAATGGGTAATTATGGTACCGCAACCAATCCTGTTTAAATAAAGCCTATGTAGGCCTCTAATCTGATGGTAATCTTAGATTTATAGTTGTGTAAATTCACTGATGCCTCCCACACACAATGTAACTGTACCAATGCAACCTCACACAAAGAGCACCCCAGCCTCTTTCTTCAATGCTAAGCAAATAAATCAAGTTAGATTACACATTTGTAGATTTGCAGTTTGTTTTACATGCAGGACTGAGCCTTTAACTCAGCAAAATGAATCAGACTACTTTAGAAGGTGGAATTTAGAGGGATAGATAATTGATTGATTGCTGAATCATCAGTAGAAATTGACATCTGAATGGTGGAGAAAGATTTTAAAAACATTGGTCCTAGAACAGAAGGTGACTGGTACCTGGAATTGTGCCTCAGGCAGAAAATTTATTGGGTCAGCAACACTGTTCACTTGAGGTACAATATGCATTTTTTGTGTTTAATAATTTGATCATCAAAACCCACACAATTAAACTCATTAATAAATCAAATCAAACCATCAAGGGTTTTTCTAATCATAGAACTATTTACAGCTCCTATAAGACTGATAGAGATATCTCTGTCTCTATCAATATGTCTCCATTCCATGCAACTGGTCAGGCAGTTAGAACACAACATTTTTTTTAAAGCTGCGGTATTACCAAAAGCAAACTGCACATTACATACTACAACATTGTTTAGAGAGGGGACATAAAAACAATATCACTGGAGTCCATTTTAGTACACTGGTTACACTTTGGCACAGCACTAGGATAACATAAGATGGCCCTTCATTTTGAAGCTAGTAAAAGCAACATACATTTCCAGGGAAGTGCTCTACAATGAGTCCATGAAACTGTTCAAAAGACATAAATCACCATAAGGGGATTTGAAAGATACTGTAACACCCCACCCTCAATCTCCAAGCAGTGAGAGATTTCAGCTAGCACATACCTCAGGTTTGCTTTCTTTAGAATGAAGGTCACTGGAGTCTTTGTGATATATGCATTCATTTATGCATATATACAGGCTGGGCGTAAGATGGAAGGGCTCATAACATAAAGTCTCCAGAATATCCTGCTCCCCCATTAGCATTTGATTAAGCACAGAGAGCAAGCTGTGACTTTTCCCAGCCCAGTCCATTACAGACCTCATCCCGGGTGGAAGGCTTGCCCCTTATAGCCTACCTTTAGGAAGCAACTCCAGCTGGTAGTTTCCATGGTACCCAGGCACCTGTACTCTTTTAGTCATGCAAAGAGATGCTTAAGAGACTTGGCTACAGCCTTTAACTAAACCAATAGACTGGTTTGACTACTTTAGCAGCCTTTATCTACTTACAGATTTAAAACCACAGGGTTGGAAAGAACCATAAAGAAGGCATCTAGACTAAATTGTGTGTGTTTGAATCAATACAGTAATTCATGCTCTTTTGATTTTCCATTTGTACGTGTGTTTTTATATTTATTTATTTAGTTTTCTTTCTATTCTATTCCAAATGTTAAGAGCACTTGATACCTATAAAAGAACCCAGTATTTGGATGCTGTCTCTGTAATATTGAGCAACCTATAGACAGAATTCAGGAAGGGACTATACAGACATAGGGCTATGCAGAGAAGGCCAGTCTCTATCTGCAGTGGCTCTTGCTGAATTCTTCAACATAAAGGGAAAGCAATCTAGACACAGTGCGAGTCTGAAATCTGCTTCTTCTAGAGTCAACCACTAACAATGGTTGCCATTCGTAAACATTCTTGGTTCTGGGCAGGATTGCCAACTGACCCCCCCCCAAAAAAAAACCCCACATCTGCCCTGATTGTTGTAGAGATGAGCAATAATAAGAAAGCACTTTGTACGATGAAAATTATAACAATTCCTCTCACAGAAACTTACTTTTGGAAAGGGCATTAAGCATATTGCAACTTACACCATAAAAAAATGAAATTGCAAGTAATAAAATGAAAGTGTTCACAAAGGGCATTTGTATCTCTGCACAAGCTGCTCTTTCTAGACATCTTTGTACATGTTATTGTGACTGATACCCTAGAAACACAAGCAGCAAGTAATGACTTTATTTGCCTCTGTCTTTCCTTGGATCCTGGGAGGATTAATAGCTGTAGTAATTATGCCCTGCACTGGAGAGAGGCCATGATATAGGAGGCAGTTATAAAAGATCCATGGCTGACATTACAAATTATCAAAAGCTGGGATCAGTTGTTGCATTTGATGTACACTTTTTGCAAACTATTTTTTTTTAAATCACCTTTGCAACAATAGTGCCCATTCTATAAGAGCAACTGAGTTACAAGACAACTCAAGTAGCCTGCATTCACTTAGCAGCATTGCCTATTATTTGTATGACTTTGGCAAATTGCTTCAGTTCTATACCTCTAAATTTAAATTGTATTTATTAAAAATACTCATTTATATAGCATGTGTTTATTGGGGATTAGTGGTCCTTGCCAAATCACATCATGACAGTGAGCTCATAATGCACATGTGAAAGGTCACTTATTTTGGTAAGTTTACTGTTTTATACACTTTTCACATTGCTCCAAAAGTTTAAGACTACAATCCTATATCCATCTGTGTGAATTCCATTGAATTCAGTGGAATTTACTTCTATATACAGCCCAACTGGGGAACCCATGACGCTCCAGATGTTACTATACTAAAACTTCCACCATCCCTGACCATTAATCAGGACAAGAGTTAGGGTTAACATCTGGAGGCCCCACAGGTTCCCCACCCCTGATGTACTGGATGAAGTTGCATATTTTCTGCTCCATGAAAGAAATGTACTGCTTTTCTAGGTCACAGATAAATTTGACTATTGATTAAAGCCGTTTTATAAAATGGACTTGCCAGGCCTTTATAACAGAATTAAAGTCCCTGCATTTACATCAACAAAAGATAAATCTAGACTAAACCTTGCCTCTTATACATCCT